AGGAGCAGGGTGTCTGTGTCAGCTCAGGGGGCGGGGGAGGAGGCTCTTGGCAATGTCAGGTCTGCGTGGGAAGGCCCACTGGGCCCAAGCATGCTCCTGGCAGTGGCGGGGCCACCAGCTTCTAAGTTGGCCTTGAAGCTGCCCCTGCTTCACCTGCTGCCAGCACCCGCTGTAGGTGCAGACTGGCTTCTTGGCACTGGAACAGGGCAGAGGGGAGGAGACTGCAGATGAGGCTGCAGTCACACCTGGCTGAGAGGGTGAAAAGGCATACTGATTTGGGGGAGTCGCTTTATCAGGGGAGGACCCCAAGGAGGGACTGGACCCCCCCCCCTGAGGTGCAACTCCTGTGGGCTGGAAGGAGCCTGCAGACAAACGGTGATGGTCAGTGTGCAAGCGACGCTCGAGGCCTCTGCCCACCTGTGACAGGGAAACGAGTTCCTTCCACTACCAGAGTCTGGAAATGGGCTACTGCGTGTTGAATCTTCAGGTGAAAATCCAGCCAGGTGGCCACCTTGGTGGTAGCCTTGAGACCCAACTGAAGCAAGCCAGACTCCCGACCGCAGGCGCTGGACACAGTGTTATTTCCAGTGACGTGTGTCAACCTCAGCTTGTATGGAAGGTTTAGGAGCGAACGCTGAGCTACTGGAGGACACTGACTCGTAGCTGACTGCTGTATTCTTGGCCGCTCCTAGTAGCTACTGGGTTCATTTCAAAATAGAAAGTGACCTTCTCTTTGCCTGCAACTCACAACTTCCGTCGTTCTGGACACGACTCTTCGTGTTGCCAGGCGTGGCCTGCCCTGTGCCCTGGCCGTCCCGGTGCCCGGGTGCTTCCCACTTCCTTTTCCCGCAGAACTCTGCTATTCCTTTGGGTCTTAAAGTACTACGCTTAGTTCTGAGCCTTATTTTTTGAAAGCAGCTTTCTGCCTTAATGCGGACTACTGCCGTTTTCCGCGTTCCCGATGCAGAGGCTACAACTTGAGCAGGGCCTTCACACATCTGCTTTTCTGACGGGAGGACCGAGTTTTCTTTAGGAAAGCATGATGCCCGTTACCCTTTCCGAAGCATGAGGACGCAGGTAGCTTTTACGCTCAGACGGGCTTTTGCTCTAACCGTGCAAGAGCTCCCATGGCAGCGGGCTGCACAGGCATGTGGACACGCAGTGCAGAGGCGCCTGCCATGGCTAGCTGACGCGTTTGTTAGGGCCTAGGTGTTGTTCATCAAAATGAAAATGTCACTGCTGTACGTTTATGGAAGCCAGGGGGTGAGGACAGGGGTGTGGAGTTAGTTATGACAACACCAGGGTTTCGGAAGAGTCTGCTGCCAGGGAGCGGGCGCAAGCAGAAAGCCACGTCAGAGCTGCCTCTCCACCTGGCAAAGGGTAATCGTTATTTTGGGGAGTGAAGACCCACACGGAACTTTACCGATTAGAAAGTGGGCTGAAGGCAAAGAAGAGTTTAGCCACCCAGGGAAGCTAGTCCCAAACACTGGACTTCCCTGCTGATGGAGTCTCCCCCCGTCGCCTGGGCTCAGCTCAGGTCTGGCTGCTCGTTCAGGCCGCGTGGCACGTCTGGCTGTCTGTAAACCGGCCCGGGAGGGAGGGATGGCGCGCCTGTGCGCGCTGGGGTTGGCAGCAGCACCGCCGCCTGTTGGGCTGCTGCTGTGAAGAGGCTGTGTGGCGTTCGGGGGGACTGTCCCCGGCACTGCCGGTGCAGCAGGTCTGGAGGGATCCAAGGCCCCAGTGTCGCTGCAGTGTCGCTGCGTCACCAAGCGCCTCCCCGAGTGCAGCTGTATCGGAGTTTACTGGGGCTCCTGAGAGCCAGGCACAAGCAGCACCCCGTCCCCCAGTCTGCTGTCGCCTCCTCCAGGCAAGGGGAGGTGCTGGGGCCCTCGGTAAGTCAATGTTTGGGGTGAGGTGGACATCCTGGCAGAATGAGGCAGCTGACTGGCTGGGTAGCTTCTGTCTAGGGCCGCCCTTGCTGAAGACAGGGCAGAGGCGACCTGCACGAGACCGCTGTTGGGCTGGTGATTCAGAAACGGCGTCCATTGGGGCCCACTGCCATTGCAGTCGTGGGCCAGTTCGCTGTGGAGGGAGGCGTGAGGCTGACGTGGGGGCACGTGTGTGACCCACGTCACCGAGCTATCGTGGGGTGCGGCCAGCTCGTGGCATGAAAGGTGCTTTATGCTATAACCATGTGCAAACCCTGAATCCAGACGTGGCCCCTGCAGGCTGCTGCCTCCTCCCCACACCCACTTCCAGGGCAGAGCAGCCTGGACAGCCTCCCAGCACGCAGCCAGGCGCCCTTTCCGGTCCTGCTGCTGTCACCTGGCGGCAAGCCCACCTCACACGTCATGCTACCCCACAGAGCCCCTTTCAGAGCGGGACCCCGTAACTGCTTTGCAAACAGCGCTGTGGCGGGTGCTCCTGGAGCTCCTGGCTAGCAGACAGGAGGAGGGTTGGAGCTCAGCACACAGCGCTCTGGCAGCGCTCGCTGCGGCTCAGGTTCCGCAGGCGCCAGAGTCCTGGGAAGCTGAGGACCCTGAGGACGGGACTGGCTCTGGGCTCTCGCTGGCGCAGTGACGTGGGGACCCGGCTGGAGCGTGGAAGACGTGGTCTGGTCCTGCTGCTCGACCACTCCCAGGATCCACCCTGCGTCTTCAGGGGCCCTGGGGTGCCATCTTCAGGTTGAGGCCGGGGCTCGCTTTCTTAGTGTGCTCCCTGCCCACGGCCTCCCTCTGACCGCTCCCCAAGGAAGGCAGCGGTTGTCGGGGTGAAGTCCAGAGGTGAGAAACTGCTGCTTCCCCGTGGAGCATTTCCAGCTGGGGTGATTCCTGCAGCTGCCTCCCCATCACTCAGGCCAGGGCCCCCAACTCCAGCAGGCAGATGGGAGCGTCATGGTGAAGGGAGCACGAGGACCACATTCACTCTACTGTCCCTTCTCCGTGTTTCTCTGTGGTGATAAGGTAGATGTCAGGGCCAGCACGCTGGGGAAGGTGGCCACTATGGCCTCGCCGGACTTCCTGCGTGGCTACACTGCCCTGGCGCACAGTCCCCGCTGTGCCACAGGCCCTGAGGGGGGTGAGCATGGTGTGAAAGGCACCAGCTCTGGTTACAAGGTAACTGAGCACTGGGGGGCAGGGGTGCGGTACCTGCCTTTCCTGGTGGCCGTCGTCCCCAGCATGCTGCCACTCCCCCCCGGCCCCACCCTCCGAGTGCCCAGCGCCTCTGCAGGGAGCAGACCACAGTCCTGTTGCTGCGAGCCTGGTGCAGCCGGCTGCTCGCCAGGCCGCGAAGCGCCTGAGTGCCGCACAGCAGCGCTAGGTGTCTGCTGCAGCCGGGGCCGCTTTGCTGTCCCCACCGGCGAAGCTCGCTCCATCCACCTACTTACTTCAGCAGGGCTTTGCAGTTGTTCAGTCGATTTCCCTTTGTAACTACTTGGCGGCAGGACTTAGCAGGGAGTCGCGGTCCCGTATTCATGAGGCAGCGTCCCGCGTGCCCTGTACTGTGGCAGCTGCGCCTGCCCGTCACAGGTGATGGCGACGACTCGCCTTTCCATGGCAACCACGGTGCGGACCTGAGCACCACGTGAGACACGAGGCAGAGTTCCGGACCAAGGGTCAGGCAGGGAGGGGAGACCTGGCGGTGGGGCGCACTGTCGGGTGCAGGCACTTGCAGGGAGCACAGGCGCCGTCCCGACCAGGCCGCTGCAGCGCCCCCATGGGAGTCACCCCAATATGCTGCTGAAGCGCGGACTTCCTGCAGGTGGCAGGCGGGGCAGGGGTGGGAGTCAGTGGCTGCAGTCCTGGCTCGTCCTCACAGCTGAGCGAGGTCACTGGCAATGCGCGAAAGGGGCTCGTCCCTGGGGTCTGCTTAGCGGGCGTGATCACCTCACACGTGCGTCTAAGGAGACATCTGAGAAAAGGTTAAACCACCTCTAGCTTGGAAATTGCATTGATTGTTTCCAGAGAAGACAGTGACCTAGCGAAGGACTCTTAGCTAGACACATGGTTCCTTCCAGCTCCCAGTGAGCCTGCCTTGGCGTTTTTGTCTTATTTTACCTTCAGTGAGATTTCCTGCAAGAGAAACTAAATTCCCTGTCAACTTGAAGGCGAGCAGGACGCTGAGGGGAAAGACAGAACCAGCGTCCGCAGGCAGCCGAGGGACACAGCTCCTGGATGCCTGTGGCCATGCGGACAGGCAGGACGCTCACATTCATGGGGTCCTGGCGTTCCTTCCGATTCTGACAGCGAACAGGCTCGGTGCTGGGGATTTTTGCTCGGTTGTGGTTATCAAATTCTTGCTCTTAAAAAAGGTGCCATGGGCCTGCAGCCCCTCAGGCCCTGTGGGGGGAGCGGTGTTCCCCCCTCACGTCACCCGGCACGTAGTTGCATTTTACTCCATAGACCATACGCCAAGGTCCAGTGTGCTTTACTCGAGGACCGCCCTGCCCCCCAGGTCATGCCGGCCCTCCACTGCAGGTGAGGCTGCCACGGCTTCTGAGGTGTCCAGCCCCTGGGGCCACAGGGTGCGCCAGACCCACCGCTCCTGCGGGTGGGGCCCCCCGGGACACACTGAGCTCAAAGGGTCGTGAACACCGGTGAAGCAAGCCGTGCTCCTAAGAACTCACAGGGCTTCAATTCTGGGTTTGGCAAGAAAACCCAGCAGTGAAATGACCCTGGTCTGTTGGGACATTACTGGTGTCCCTGGACCTGGTCCCTTGCAGAGCTAATTCCTTTAACTGCCTGCTCATGGGCTGGCACACAAACGAGCACGCGGTTTGTGCTGTTCCTCTGCCAGACAGTTCCCAGCAGTCAGGGGAGAAGGCTGTCCCCTTTTTGGCCATTTCACGGGAAAAAATGAAGAGAAACGCAACCTACCTTGTTAGCGCCCAAGGCCGTCCTCTGTAACGTGTTTTCTGCGTAGATGCTTTCATTACCTAGAAACGCGAAGTCGGTCACTGCTCGGAAATGCACGCGGCAGCGAGTCCCTGTGTGCAGCCCTTACGAAGCCACATACGCAAAGAACAGGCGCTGAGGGATGAGGGGGTGTCGAAAGGCGCCGCTGACCAACCAGCACGCTGCCAAGACCCCGCAGAGGCTGATGGGCGGGTGGACAAGGCTTCCTCGGGCTACTGCCCGCAGCTCGCCATCAGCGGCCGTCCCCACAGCCCTGCTGGGTCCCGCAGGAGACGCCCACTTCTCCCCAGCTGGCTTCTGCTGCTCCTTTCTGCCCCTGCAGCCTGGACACCCGGCCTCCCCATCGTACCCGGTGACACCCTCAGTACCCCCAGACTGCACCCTGGCTCCAAGTCCGCATGTCCCCAGAGGGGGGGGATGCCTGGCTACGTGTTCCACACGAGGCCACGCGATGAGCGAGCCTGGGTACCTGCCTTCCCCGTGACCCATTTCACCCAGCAGCAGCACCTCGGGGCTGTCCGTCTTGCCCCGAGGGCGCTGTACGCTCAGCGTGGTGTCCGGCTGAATGAGGCCTGAAGGGTGAGCGCCAGGCCTGGGATGGTGAGCAGGTGAGCCCGCACCTGTGCGTGCTGAGACGCGGCGCCTGCTGGGGGCAGCTGCCAAGGTCAGCAGGGCGGCAGCAGCAGTGGGCAGCGGATGACAGAAGCTCCCTGACACAGCAGACGTTTCCCCTAGCCTGTAGCTCGCCCCTCCTTTACTCCTAGACCGAGGCGTCCTCACCGCCTGGGCGGTTTTGCCCTGTTTGTGCTCTGCGCCAGCCCAGTGTCCGTTTCCCTGCCGTTGAGCTGGGGGCAGGGAGAGGGCAGGTACGGAAGGGGCCTCTCTGGGGCTGGAGGAGGGCCTTCCTCCCCGGCCGGACAGGCCCTTGGGCCCGAGGCCCGGCCCGCGCCGTGCGGGCAGCAGTTAGCGGGCAGCAGGGATGAAAGCATGGAGCGTGTGTGCACAGAGCTGGGCTGTGCGCCTACACCTGTGGGCATTTCGTGGCGGAGGATGTTAGCGCAGCCTAGGAGAGCTGTGCCCGTGACGCCCGTGTGTGGGACTTTCATCACGTATGTGTGCGCACACGAGCTGGGGGCCAGGCCGGAGGCGCGGGGGTGAGGGGCCTCCCAGAGACACAGCGGGGAGCAGGACAGGCCGATCTACCAAAACCCACTGCTGAGGGGCAGCGGGCGACAGGAGGGGGCTGCTGCGCTGCGCGGGTCACTCCCGGGCCGGAAGTTTCCAACGTAGTCAAGTTGTCTAAAAACTTCTAAGAGCTTAAACGGGTCTGTGCACATGCGGACGAGGCCACAGCAAAGGGAACGAGCCCGGGGCCATCCTGCGGGCCCAGCAGCTTGGGGCCCAGCACCGCAAGCCGCCTCGGTAGGAGTTCGGTCCCAGCCAGGGAGTGACCCACACGGCCAGCAGACCGCTCCTGTCTCCCTGCTGCTCCCCTCAGCACACTGTCTCTGGTGCAGCCTCACCCCCTGCGCCTCTGGCCCGTACCCCAGTTGAACCCTAACATGTAACGTCAGCTGAAAGAGGGACAGTGCGACCGCAGATGTGAGCTTTAAGCTCTGCGACGCTGGCTTGACCGTCCCCTGGGGCAGGCGCCGGGGAAAGGGAGGACAGGCCACCACAGCAGGCCCGAGTCCCACGGTCAGGGGATGTCGCTATCTGGGGAGACCGTGTGCTTGGCACCAACATAAAAATCACGGGTTTCGCCTTTGAGCGCAGCTGTCAAGCCCGCGTGGAGGGTGAGCGCGGGCCACGTGCGGGCACCCCTTGGTGACAAAGGTGCTGTCGCATAGTGCTGTCCAGCCCCCGGGCTTGCAACAGGGCACTGCCCAGAGGCCACTCACAGCACCCAGGGCGCCCACCTGCTTGCCCCTCCCTGACCACTCTTCCCTGTTTCACTTGCAGGGGCCAAGCGGGCGGGCTCTGGCCAGTGGGCTCCTCTGCCCTGCGCCCCCACCTCATCTGGACGGTTCGTGCCAGGCGAGTGCCCCTTACCACGGGCGTCGTCTTCCAGCTTCCTCCCGACCACGCTGTCTCGGGGTGCGCGCTGCTTGTCCTGAGGGAGGAACCACCGGACAAGAAGACAAGATGTGGGGTCTGCTGTGGAGCCGGGGCGGCTGCTGGCGCCGCTCTCGCCACGTGTCACTCCAGCCCCTTCTGTGGGCAGAGCAGCGGCCAGGCCCAGGCCTGCGTGTGGAGACCGTGGCCCCAACAGGCGCAGAGCAGGACCCGCGGCCAGGGCACCTGCCCCAGCCCTGGAGACCTGTGGGGAGCTGCAGGGGCAGGCGGGGGTGGCGCAGTGTAATAGAGACGAGGGCGGCTGGGGGTGCTGCAGCGTGCTGGGGGGTAGCAGCCAGTGCGGCAGGAGCCTCCGTGTGCCCTGCCGCCTCCTCCCCCCAGCGCCGGCTCTGCACCCGTCTGCCCCAGCTCTCCTGCCCGTCTGTCTCCAAGGCCTCATGTCGCCTTCCAGTCAGCCCCCGCTGCCCGGGACGCCCCTCTCCCAGTCTCCATCGCTCTGCCTCTGGCTCTCCCCGCAGGCCGTCTCTCCTCTGGGCTCCCAGCTGCTCTGCCCTCCCCTCCGATGGCCCCAGTTGCGTCTCTGTCCAACCTTGACTGCTCCGTGTGCACTGTCCATGTCCTCAGCGCTGCCCTCCAACCCCACTTCCGTCTCCTCCCTCCATGCGCACACCTGTGGTTCCATGGACAGCCCCCCACCCCCACCCCGGGCCTCCCGTGCGGCTCTTCCGCCCTCTCCGCTCCCGTCTCTCCATCTCTGCCTTCCCCCGACACCTCCTCGGTGCCCCTCCCACTCACGTGCCACCATGCCCCCCTCTTCCCCCGACTCCCCACTGTCCCCTCCGTGGCCCTGGCCCGCCTCTCCCTCCAGTTCTGTTTGCTGCTGCCAAGGCCCGCTGCCAGTCCCGCGCTCCAGCACCCCGTCTCCCCTTGGCACCCTCCTGGGACACCTCTCCCTTTCCCTCGCCTCACTTCCGTTCTTGCCCGGGCCACAGCAGCCCTGTGCCGGCTCGTGCAGGCTCCTCCTCACCTTCCCCTCCCCGCACCAGCTCTGCTCTCATCCCTCCGGCCCAGGTCGCCTTTCTCTGCGCACCGTGGCGTGGTCGTCCTGTCTCCAGCTCTGCACCTCTCCTCCTCTCCTCCACCTGCCAGCTGTATCCTGCATCCGATTCTCTCCACATCCCTTCTCCTCTCGCCTCTTGCTCCCGCTCCTGGTCCATCCCAGTCTTCTCCCTCCACTCATCACCCCTCGGCTGCGCCACTATCTGCTCCCCGTTCACCCTGTGCTTTCCCCTCCCCTCGCCTGTCCAGCTCCACTTCACCTCCGTGATCTTGACCCTTCGTCTGTCCTCTCCTCCGTCCTCCACCTCCTTCATGCTCCTGCTCCCTACCTGTCACTCCGCCCTCCTCAACCTCATCTTCCCACCTTTCTCACCTCTCCCACTCTTTACCATCTCTCCCGCCTGCTCCTGAAGCCTCTGAATCCCTTTTTCCAACTCTCACCTGTCTCCAGACATGTCTCCTTCCCTCTAGCCCCCTACTTCTCCAAGTCGCTCCTATGCGCCTCCTGAACTCTCCCCCGACCGCACCCCAGCCCGTGTCTCCCTGTCCCGTCCCATTCATTCCTCCAGGCCTCTGCACCCTCCACCCGTGTCTGCTCATCTCCCCACTTTGCTCTCCTATTCCCCTGCCCCTTGTGCCCCCGGCCTGTCCCTCGCTCTCCAACTATCTTTCTCCAGTTGCCATCTACAGTCCTCCTGCGTCCTCCCCGCCCCACCTTACCTTGTTCTTTCCTCAGCAAGGCTTTTCACAGAAATTGATAAATTCCTGAAAGTTTATACTTACAAAACACAAATAACTGAGAAAAGGGGGAGGAACTGAGTCGTGTTATCTCCACTTCAGACTTACGCAGCGACATGCTAATGCCGTGGAAATAAACGCATGGATCATACATGTAATCACCTTGTCTGTAATAAAGCGGCTGCCACCTCGCCACGCAGAAGCAGCTCTCTGATTCTTTAGTAAACTGCGCGGAACACTGCAAAGCCACAGGGGAATGACATCGCCCCCGCCCACCCCAGACACGCGCCTAAGCAGGTGAACGCTCAGACGTGAGACCTCCACCCACACGTACGGCGGCCGCATGGGCCTGGCCACCCTCACAGCGCTGCTGTCCTCCGACGGCCCAGCGGCGCCGGGAGCGGGAGAAGCCACTAAGTGAGAACAGTCTGCACAGCAAAACAATGTATAGAGATTAAAAGGCCTTTAGAGAAAACAGTGCACACTGCCCAGGGGATGATTTATGAAAACACAATTCCCCAGAAACCATCTTCCGAGGCCAACAGCCCTCTGGAAAGCCATCGCTGACAGTAAGAGGCGAGGTTAGGCCACAATGGGAGCGCCTCCCAGGCCACGCGAAGGTCCGGTGCGAGGGAGCCCTCTGACGCTGGGCTCACCCTAAAGACAGCAATGCTGGCCCCCTCCAGGGCACACGAAACCCACAAAAGGCAAAACTGAGGTGCTCTGGGCAGCCACAGCAGAGACGCCTATCTGCAGGCGTCATGACGCAGCCTCGGGGTCTGTCGGTGGGGGGCGGGCGGGGGAGATGTGCTGGACCACACGGGCGGGGTCACTCGCCTGCGAAGAAACGCAGCCGTCTGCAGCAGCAGATGCAGAGTCTGAGAACGAAGTGTAGCGAGGGGGGCGTGACAGCAACGTCAGGGAATGTCAGGGTGGCGGCGGGAGGCTGATCCCAGCGCTATGCCGTTGGAAGAGTGAGGCTGCGCTTCCCTCAAGTGGAAGCCCACTGCGGCCCCTCCCTAAGGGGGTCAGGGCTGGGGTCTGTTAGCTGGTTCTGCCGTGTGGGGACTGGAAGCACCAGTCAGCGGCCCAGAGTAAGGGGCGAGGCTGTGGCCGGCGCCTCCGGACCCGCGTTTGTGCCCACGCTCCGTCCGCACTGCCCCACGCGGCCTCTCCCTCACTAGGCTCAACACCCTCTTGCCGTAGCCCGGCTGCAGTGGCCGGTCCAGCGCCCCTCTCCCCACTGCAGTGGCCTCTGCACACGCCGCTGCCGAGATCGGGCACAAAAAGTCTCCTGTTCTAAGACGGTCACGTCCCTACTCGTGTTCCCCGATGGCGGCGCCCCTGGGCGCGTGCGTGCTGTGCAGCCAGCACCCTGCGGGACTCACTGCACTGGGCAAGGGCGCAGAGGAACGGGAGCCGTGCGCAAGAGCACAGCCGCTGCACACGGCGCCGCCGCGAGAGGTCCGTGCACGAAGGCGGCCCTTACTGTGACACCTGTGGGCTCCCAGAGGCGCTCCTTGAGCTGTGACCCCGGACGGCACCTTCTAGGTGCCTATTTTGCATTTACATCAACTCCAGGTAAGAGGCCGCTGTACCCCCAAAAGTAGGTAACACCAAGCGCCAGCCCATCATGCACTGAGCTGAGCAGACAATTAAAAATCACCGGAAATGCAGTAGCTGACAGTGGAGAGTGACCGACGAGCGACGGACACACAGCAGGCGCTCACGACCGAAGAGCTGACGCGGGCCCGGGGCGGCGGGCAGAGGGGCAGAGCGGGCTTCGAACAAGCGCAACTTTGTCTCCGGAAAATCCCGTTTAGCAGTGCAGACAGTTACAGGCTTGGAGGTCAGAGGCGTCAGGCGAGCACGTGCCACGGAGGAAGGTCAGGAACAGCTCCGTGTGTGTCAGCTACTACCACGTCCCCTCCCGCGGCGCCTAGGTGAGAAATCCTTAGAGCTCGGCACGGTCCAGGTACCGGGCACACGGGAGGAATACGCGGCCCTCCAGGAATAGAACGGCTGATTCTCGAATGGTCGCTGTAACTTTTTGATTTGTTTTCTGATTCTGCTGATGCACAACAAAAATGCTACGGATACTGTGCCTCGCTCCTAATGACACTCGACAGGAAGGTAGCTTCCTCTACTCTCGATACTGACTTACTTCTGAGAAACCCCCTTACAATCTTTAATATTATACAATTGACTCCTGAAGGCCAGGTGGTTTGTGAGGTGAATGGAGAGTAATTCAAGGATTAGAGAGGCACAGGGGTAGACAGGGTATTTGTTCAGCAGCGCTGAACCTGGAGTACACGGTGGTTTCCTGGGGCCCCGAGTTGGTTTCGGGCCCCTGGCGACTTCTCAGAAACAAAAAGACATGAATGTACTATCTGTCGAGCCTCTACTGAAGAAGTCACGGTGCCCCTCTACTTGCTTGCCAAGAAAAACTGTATAAACGCTCTGCACCCTTAAACCTAAATGACATTCAGATGTGCACCCCTAGAAGTCGTGTCTGCCAGTCAGCCTCATCCTTGTCCACCCTGCGCCAGAATGGCCGCCCCTGAAACCTGTCTCCTGCTCCTGCTGCGCTGGTCCGCGGCAAGCTACAGCGGTCACGTCCTGTTTGCGGCCTGGCGCAGCAGCAGGAACAAAACTACGGCATGTGCCCAGCAGGGGGAGGCGCAGCCGGACGTGTGAGCCCGCCCGACTGCCCGCACGCCACAGGGCTCCGGAGGTTCCACTCGCAAACCAGACTGGCCGGCCAGCGGTGGCCACAGTCGCCTGGGCGGAGAGACACGCCGGGCAGGCCTCCGGCACCACCACAGGCCGCGCGTTTGCCCAAGTGCCCGGCAGCAGTTCCAGAACAGACCAGGGCCGGGCTCGAGCCGGCTGCCAGCACAAGCACGGTGAGCGGGCCAGGCCGAGCACCTCCCGCCCCTCCTGCCACGAAGCCAGCAGCCAGCGGCATGGGAAAGGACAAGCCGAAAGCTGTGGAGACGAGCCCGCGGCTTAACGGCTCCTGGGCTGAGGAGGACGCTAGAGAGAGACCTCCGGACTGAGGAAGGCAAGACCCGCTGTCGGCACAGGGCGGCAGGGAGCCCTGCAGGACAGCCCCTGAGGGAGCGCGCCCAAGTGCCCAGACCCGCAGCCCAGGCCCCTGCGAAGCTGGGGGCAGCAACAAACAGCAGGACCTCGGCGAGAGGAGTGGACGGTGCGGACAGCCACACGCCAGGTCCGGGCCTGCAGCGTTGCTCCAGAAAGACGCAGCCTGCAGCGGAGACCGGCAGGAGCGGAGGCGAGATGCGGGCACAGCCGTGGCAGGTGACAGGGCGGGCAGCAGCTGTCACCCCCGGCCGACAGGGGAGGCTCCGGACACCGCCCGGCGGCCCGTACCAAGAGGACACACATCTCGGGAAAGCCGGGCCCTGGCACTGACCCCGAGGCAGCCCCGGCCCCCAGGAGGAGCGCCGACCCGGATGCCTTTGGGGTGCATCCAGCAGACCCCACCTGAGCGCTCACCTGAGCGCTCACCCGCGGCAGACGCTGCCCCATCTGGGATGAGCCGCCAAGGCGCGGCCGGTGGGAGGAACCTGCCTATGGCCAGAGGCCGCGTCCTGCACACCAGCGCCAGGGCACACTCCCGTGGGGGCGCCACCTGCCTGTAAGACGCAGAGGCCGGGGTGCCCACTGCCCCACGTCCGCTCAGGCGTCCTACAGACTTGAGCCCGAGCTGACCCACCACAGGGGCAACAGGCAGGGGGCACACGCAGAGGCCCGCAGGGCCACGGACGGGTCGGAAATGGCCTACCGCACAGGGATGGCGCACAGGCGCGAGTAGACCGTGCCGCGCCTTTACCAAGGGCGGTGACGAGGAGGAAACCAAGTCAGGGCCGTGGCCAGGCACTGGCCTGGACGAAGCGGCCGCGGCCGAGCGCACAGGCAGGGCTTCTGGAGAGCAGAGGCATCCGCAGGAGGAGCAGCAGGTCTCAGGGGCGCCCACAGGACACCCCAGAGGAACCGGAAGTGCAGGAGCGCAAAGAACTGACAAGGGCAGAGACTCGGGCGAGTGCGACCTTGGCCAGCGCCGGGAGCTGGGGGTGTCCGCCTGCCCCGTCACCCCAGGGCACACCGGCCACACGGGAGGGCGCGGACGGGGCGCGGGAAGCAAGCTGCAAGCAGCCCCTAGTCCCCGCCGGCCGGCTGGCCTCTGGGATCCCCAGAGACGCGCCCCTGTGCTCCCCACTTTCTTCCTGGAAGTCCACTGCCCTTTACTTCCTCGAGCACAGTCTGCCTCGTGCTGAGTCGGAAGCCCGTGAGCGCCTCGCGGCTCCAGGGAACAAGAGCCGGGGCCCAGGCACAGGCCCTCGCGCTCGACCGCCCCGTGGCAGACTGAGCCCCAGGCGCAGGGCGGGAAGCAGCTGCGCGGCCACCGTGGCGTGCCCGTGAGCGTGCAGGAGGCCTTCACAGGGTCAGCGACAGGGAACCCCGGAAATGACTCTTTTAAAGCGAGTTAGCAAAACCCCACAATGAACTGTAAAAAGCCCTGAGAGCTGCAGTTGGCGCAAGAAACCCCGAGCGCCGAGGGCGCGGTGTCCCCGACGCGCAGGCAGCCGTGGTGCCACAGGCAGGTGTTGACGCCGAGCAGGCGCATCCCGGGCAGCGCGGGGGCCCCCGGGTGCCCCCGGGTGCATGTCTAGACGCCACGGCGTGTCCCAGGCCAGGAGCGCCGCGCTGATCGGCGCCACAACGGGCGGCCGCACGCGGGCACCTCCCAGCCCTTGCAGAGACGGGTGGAGGCAGGAGCCAGCCCCGCCGGGTAGCCCCGGCCGAAGGGCCGCGACCCCTGGGGACACCCGCGACACAGATGCAGGGGCCTGGCCCCAGGGCCGGGGAGGAAGCAGCAGCGCACGCCGGGCTGACCTGCCCCGGAGCTCCGGCCGTGCACGTTGGCGCCGGACAGCAGACGTGCGCCACCCCGGCCAAGACAGCCGGGCCCGGCACAGCAGGCTCGCGGCACACCCGGGCTCCCCCCGCGGCCCCCACGCCGCTGAGGGAGCAGGCCCGCGTCGGAGAGGGCGCCACAGCCCACTCTGCGCCGGTCGGCTGCACTGGAGGCTGAGGGAGAAGGAAGGCCACGTGGCCATGGCCGGGGAGCAGCGCCAGCAAACCCGCCCTGTCAGCTTCCCACCCAGCCGGCGCCACGGCGCGCGACCGCAGCCTACCTGCCGTGGTGTCTCCGGGCCGGTCCCCCTGTGCCGGGGCCGCAGGTGCTCCAGGGCCTGGTCCGCCGCCAGCCTCCCGCCGCGGGCCTTGTCCTGCAGGGCGCTGGGCTCCCTGCCTGCGTCCAGGTGGGCCCTCACCGGGGTGTGGACCTGGCTCTGTGCGCCAGGCCGGTCTGCTGCGGGGAGAAGGGCAGCAGGTCAGGCCAGTGTGCGCGTGTCCCTCAGGTCGGGGGCACGAAAGAGCCCGGTGCCCCGCAGCCCACCCGCCGTCCGCTCCCGGTGCTCCCCGTCCTGCTTGTCTCCTTCCCCTACACGGACGATGAAGCAGGACTCTCGGGGGGCCCAAGAGACACCCCGCTTGCCCCAGGATGGCATGCAGGTCTCGGCGGCCAAGTGGCTGGCCCCTGCTCTGCAGACGCCCCTGGACAGCCGCCCTGGAAGCACAGCAGCCAGGCCGCGGGGGCGGGCTGTGCCAAGCCAGCACACAAGCCTCTCAGGGCCGTTTCTCTCCTCGTCACAGTTCACATGCTCAATGTGTGGGTGGGACGGGCCTATTCCGGGGGTGTCTGGCCTCGAGGGCTGTACCGACAGCGGAGAACTCGGAGCAGCAGCCCCCCGTGGGCGGCACAGAAGCCACCGAGATTTCCGGCGCCCCCACCCCAACGGTGCGCCTGGCGGCGAGGACCCCGAGCTGAGCGGCGCGCAGCAGCCAGAGGCTCTGCGATCGGCCTCCCTGGGCTCTGAGCCCCGCCCCGCCACGGGCCTGCGCCGGCGCCCGGCAGCCGCACACCTCAGGCCTGACGCCAGGGCGCGTCCCCCGCGCCACGCCCGTGCTCGCTGCACTGCGGCCGCCCCCGTGTGCGTGCCCGCCCAGGCCTCCGTTTTCCTGATGACGCGTTCAGCTCCACCGCTGCCTACTTCAGCCTGGCCGGCGCGGGCATGAGACGCAGCTCTTTAAGTTTCCCTTTGCCCTCAGGACCTCCCAGGCTGCTTTTACTTTTCCAACCGGCCGATCCTTCGACAGCGCGTGACAGCAGAAAGCTGGCGGAGAGCAACCAGAACTTCTTCAGTTCCGGGCTTCGCTTTGCTGTAAGGAAACTGCCCTCACCGTCCGGGCCCGTCTGTCACCGTCCCTGCAGTCTCCCCTGCCTCACTGGGGCCGTCCGCGTCGCTCGGTCTCTGCTTGGGCGTGTTGGGCACCGGCTGCGTCACAGGACCCGAGTGGCACTTGCATCTTGTACTGCACGTAAACGAACAAGTGCTTTTCGTTGTACGACGAACACTTTCTGCTTTGATTCTGTTTTTTCTGGAACCAAGATGAAACTCCGTTTGCTTCCTTAGCAGTCGCTGCCGATAGCCCGTTCTCAGCGTTTCCTTCGTGATCTCACAGTGTAGCGAAAGGTACATTCCTCTGTGCGTACAAGAGCTGGGGTGAGGCCAGGACTCCCCAGACCGTCGGGAGCAGAGGGGAACAGAAGGATCTGCTGCACCCTGGGGTCCCCCCCACCCCCGGCTGGGACTCTCTTGCTGCAGTGGCTGCGGACAGCCTCTTAGGCCCAGAATGGCCCCTGCGTCCCCAGGGAGGCCCTGGCGGTGGCTTTCTAAAAGGGGGTACTTGTCTTTTGTCCCAATCCAGGTGCCGTGTCCCGTAGGAGAGGCTGTGTGGCGCAGGCTGGGGTCTTGCCCGACCTGTGAGCTTCCACTTCTCGCCCTGACGCCGCGGGGCCCGGAAGAGTGTGTCTGCCCTGCACGTGCGGCCGCCGCAGTGCCTGCGGCCTGCAGGGCCCCTGGGCCAGGGTGTTTCAAACTGGGCTGCAGCATAAAGCCGCAAACTTCGCTGCTGCAGCTGGGGCCCTGCTGAGGTCCAACGTGGCCCCACACAGCCCGCCGGGGGTCAGTGGCAGGGAGGTCCAGTGGGCGTGACAAGGCCCCCTGCCCTTCCCAGGTGTCCCTCCAGGCCAGGGCCGCGGGGTGCTGGGGCCGAGTCAGACTCTCCAACACGGCTCCCCCCCTCCGGCTGGGCCTAGGGACGCACCTGCCTCCCTGTGCCTGGCCCGGGCAGCTGAGGGACTCACCTCGGTGCCCGTGTGCGCCGAGCCAGCGGCAAGGAGAGAGTGGTGTGAGCACTGAGAAGGGCCCTCTCAGCACCCATGTGCCCGGGCAGGGCCCACACGGCACGTGGGCGGCACGGGGGGACAGCGTCTGCGGAGGGGAGTCCCCACGCACTGCCAGCCTTGAGCAGCAGCTGCCCCCGCTGGACAGGCCGCCCAGTGCCTGCCTCGCAGGTCGCATCGTGGCCCCAAAGCAGCCCTGGAGAGCGGGTGGATGCGGCTGGGCAGCACAGCCATCGAGTCTGCCCCGGGCTGAGGGGCTGGTCAGCCACCTCTTCCGGTTCCAAAGCCTGCTGGGGAAAGCTGCTCTCCAAGCCCACTTCTGATGGAAACTTTCATCTGTGATCCGATGAATTTCTCTCACTTTTTTCAAGACACGAAAAGCGAGTTGAAGGAATCTGAGGTGTTTCCATGGAAACGGCACCAATTAACTTTTTCTACTGCTCAGGAATACCCTTGCCAAGCCGCAGGGGGCTCCCTGGCGACCCCACCCCTCGGCAGACTCCAGCACACCCCGGGGGTGCTCACGCTCGGAGCGCTTTGCCCCTCGCTAGTGGCTCAGAGCAGCTTTGCCCAGCAGCGGCCTATGGCGCCTGTCTCTCTGTCACACAGACTGTCGCTGCTGAGGCGTGTGCTGCTTCGCCAGAGACATGCAATCGCAGGACGCTGGGAACAGTCCTTAATGCAGGAACCCGGTTATCTGCAGGGTGTGGGAGCGGGCTGCGTCCCTTCAGGCTGCGTCCCTTCAGGCTGCGTCCTTCCAGACCTTCCTACCGACTCCCGACTGCGCGCCTCACTCCAGGCCCTGGATTCCTGCGGGTGCAGCTGGGGCGGGGGTGAGGGCCCTTCGGTGCCGAAGCAGCTCCAGCGCGGCCGAGTTAAACAGCGAGGCGACAGCCCGCGAGAGTCGGATGAAACATTCAGGGCCCCAGGCTCAAACGGGCTCTTAAAATCTAGCGCTTTTGACTTCAATGCAGCAAATCAGGTGACAAGCACCAGCAGACGCTGCTCCGGGGGGCGGTCAGAGCTGCGCCTCGGCTTTGCCATGCTCCCCGCTGCCCTCTTGCTCCAGGGGTGCAGCTTCTCCCACAGCGGGGTGACGCGGGGCCGTGCCCCAGGGCCTCGGCACACCCGGGTCACCATCGTCCACTGAGTTTCATGAACGAGCGCAACGGAGTCCTCTAGGAGACAGAAAAGCTTCGGGGACTGAGAGCTGGAAGCAAGTCCCTGTCCCGACCGCGAAGGCAGAGCTCGCCCAGTGCCTGGGCCACCTCCAGGGGGAGGGCTCAGGGCAAGGGGAGGCTAACCTCTCCCCCAGTGTGAAGGGACAGCGGGACAGCCAGCCCTGTCCACTTCACGCAGGCACACCCTCCCCACGGCAGGATGGCCCGCGAGGGCGCCTGGGGCGCACCCAAGCCAGAGGCAGCTCTCCTGAGGCCCTGTGCTCCGGCCTCGGGGGATACTAGGGGTGGTGCGGTCAGCATCCATCGCCGCAGAAAGACAAGAGGCAGCCTGATGGCGGAGCTCCCTGGCGCTGCCTGACACCGCAACAGCTCACCGGTTCCGTTGTCAAGGTCACACATTTTCTGAACTGAAGTCACTCAGGTTGGGCTGGAGCCTCAAGGGCGCATCTAAGCAGCGTGGCCACCCCACCTTGCCGCCCACACGCTCCCCAGCTTTGAACGTGCGTCAGGCTTGTAGTCACAGGAGCGGCAGTCACCTGCGCCTCTCCCCCATGGGTGTGGGTGGCGCCCACAGGGCGTACACAAGCAGCCTCCACTGAGTCGCACCCTGGCAGTGTCCGCAACAAGTAGACAGGCCCTGGGCAGGAGCCCCACGGGCTGAGGCGCCCCCTCCACCCGCACACCGCACCCCCCAAGCCGGCCCCTGGCCCCGCCACTGGGCCCGTCCTGCCTACAGCCTGCAGCTCCAGGACAACCCGCCTCAGAGCGGAAGTTCTCACAAGGCCACTTCGCACCTGTGCTGACGACATTTCCTTGCCTTGATCTCATTACAGCGAACTGTTTGGGGGAGCCCCTCAGTCAGCTCACTCACGCCAGACGCGTGTTTTCCGGGACGCACCAGCGAGGGGCGTCGCTCTCACCCCATCACCGAGTCCGCGCTGGGCAGTACCTTGCCTCCGAGGCCCGTGGGTCCTGTCCCCGTCAGGCTGTGCTCTGGCTGTCCTTTCCGTCCTCTGTTGAAACACTGTGGGAAACACAGCACACGTCACTGACCGACGGACACAAAGCGCAGGCTGCAGAGCCTCTGACCTGCACGCGACTGCTTTCCTCTGCCGACCCCGCGCTGGGCTGCTCGAGGAGGAGGAGGAGTAAATTCGGTCTGCTCTGCAGCGCGTCAGGCATCGCAAAGGCCCCCTCGGCCTCACGGCGCTGGCGGGCGCCTCATCAGGGACTGAAAGCCAGCCGGCCAGGCCCGGCCAGGCGCAGCACACGCACAGGCCTCGCTCGCGGCGGTCAGCTTCCGAGGCAGGTTCAACGGACTGCGCAGACGTAAGCAGAAGATGCTCGTCTGGCGCCACCGCCGCAGCCCTGAGGCAGCTCGTCCGGTGGCTTTGCTATCCGCAGAGTGCTGCTCCCAGGGCTGCTGCCCACAAGGCGTGCTCGGAACAGGTCGGCATTCAGCACCCCGCTTTGCAGAGGACACAGGACACTGAGTGTCCAGTGTCTACGAAGCACGCGGTCCCCTGGTTGTTACTGGAAAGCCCCTTCCTCCGCCCTCCCTCAGGGCTAGGCCCCAGGCGGCCTTGGGGTCCGTCCTGCCCCCGCCCCTGAGGTGATTGCCAAGGGGGTGGAGTGAGGCGAGCAGAAGGCAAGAGGGCGCAGCCAGAGCTCTAAGCGGGGCGCCCGCCCCTGCCAACAGTCCCCTCAGTCGTCCTCACTGCCGCTCGCCCTCTTTCTCAAACATTTCCTCCGTGAGACAAGGGCCTGGACACGCCCTGCCCAGGGGAGGCGCGGGGCAGGTGGGGGGCGGGGCCAGCTGAGAGCAAGGGCTCACGCACGGGCCGGCCAATGCAGGAACATGCTGCGTCGCAAAGCGCCGCATCTCGTCATCACATGTGTCACGCACAGGTGGCCGCAGGCTGCGGCCAGGGCGCGGTCAGAGCACCTGCACACCCGCGCGGACCCTCCGGCTGAGCTCTCGAACGTTCTGCTCCCAGCAGCTTTCGGAAGACACAGTACGGAACTGGGCTTGCGGGTCACGTCTCTGCTAAAATGGAACAGGCCGACGGCGAGCGGCCGTCTGAGCGCACCTCAGGGTTAGGTGCCATTTACAAGGGCGGCGTGACGTGCCTCACTGGCCAGCCTGAAGGCCCCACGGGGCCTGCGACGACACGCAGACTCCGCTCTCTGCCCACGTCGCTGGCACCACAACCCAGGCCTGACAGCTCCAGCCGGGCCTCGCTAGATGCGGAAGGTGTCGAGGCCGACGACCAACTCTCAGATAATGTATTTTCTCAAATAAAAACTGGTAGTAAGTTCTCAAGACAGAAAGTAAGTTAGCAGCTAAGTCCACAGTGAAGCTGTGCTGGAAGCCAGGGCGCTTGCAAATGGAGCTCCCTGTCAGCTTTCCGGTGCTAATTCGCTCAAAACACTTCACACCCTCAGTCTATTAACTCCGCGACTGGCAACAAACCCCAGCCTCCGTGACACACGGGGAGATCAGGCAGCGAAGGCTGTCGCCTCCCGGGGCGGGACACTCGGCGCTGCCCCCGCGTGCGAGTTCCCAGGGCCGAGAGCTGGCGACAGAGATGGCCAGGCACGACCGCAGGAAGCTGGGCCCGCCTGCGTCCTGTCTCCGCCCCCAGCCCCTCCTCACAAAGCTGGGCGCGGCACAGGTCGCAAACACCGTCCCCCACGGCAGTGAACGCCATCATGACTCATGGCCAGTGTGACGTGCGTAGGCTCTGTCGCGGCGAGGCCGTGCTGGTGGGGGCTGCTGGGGGTCTCTACAGGCAGGGTCGCGGGCTCAGCACTGCCCGCTCTTCCAGGCCAGCTCACGGCCAGAGGCAGCGTCTGCCCACTGCTGCTGGACGCCCGCTGTCTACTGAAACCAGTCCTCGGCCTCCCGCATGCCCTCCTGGCACAACCTCTGGCGTTCACTGCCGTGGGGGACGGTGTTTGCGACCTGTGCCGCGCCCGGCCTTTGTGAGGAGGGGCTGGGGGCGGAGACAGGACGCAGGCGGGCCCAGCTTCCTGCGGTCGTGCCTGGCCAGCCACCGACCACACAATGCCCACGTGTGTGCGCCCACGTGCGAACATGTGTGGGGAGCCATAGGAGGGCAGCCGTGGCCACACGGCCACATGGAGCTGGACACACGCACAGCTCCCCGCGGCGCGCAGCTGGCAGGACTCCCGAGGCGGCGACGAGCAGGCCGCTGCGAGCGAGGAGCGGCCGGTGGCCGGATGCCGTCGTGGCGACCCGGTCCCTACAAACCCCACCGTTAGCCGGGGCTGCTGCCGGGCAGGGTCTGGGGCTTAACCGGAACAGGCGGCTAAGGGCAGCCAGGTCGTGACGGGGAGCGGCGCTGTGAGCAGCAGCGGATGACGCAGGGAACCGCGAGCCAGGACGTTTCCAAACTCAGAGCAAGAAAATAAGCGAAGGCACTCCACGAGTCACCTCCCTGCACCAGGGGGCGGGGGGAGCGGGACCCTGGGCCGACAGAGCAGAAGAGCTCACAGACGATGAGAAAGTGCCCCCAAGACCAGGATGCGGGGGGCACCCACAGCGATGCCCTGCCTGGGCCTGCACCCGCCCCCGCGGGACAGCTGCTAGGGACGCGCTCTGCAGTCTCTCGCACGCGAGCAAGCTCTGCGTCGGCCTGTGCCGCCCAGTAAGGCTCGTGCGGCCCGGGCACGGTGGCGGCTCGCTCCCGCTTCCCTGGGGACCGCCCGGGTGTCGTCTGCTCCCCACGACTGTCGCCCTGAAGGCGCCCCCGAAGGTCCACAGGCTGAGCGCGCGCCCTGTCCTCCTGCGGCGGGTGGCAGGTTTGGGGGTCCTGGCTCACCACCCCACCCACCCTTCCTATTTTCCTCACTGACTTGTTTCTCAACTCAAAGGCAGGCCGCTCGCTCCCTGGCCGAGGCGTGCCCACGCTGCCCCGAGCAGGGTGCCCAGCGAGCCCCGCCTCACCTTGCGCGATGTAGGGCCTGGCCGCGTCTCCCGACAGGGTGCACGCGGGCCGCGGCGTGGGGGCCGGGGGCCTGTTGATGAGGAAGGACCGGCCGGCTCGCCTCGCGCTGCTCCTGTCAGCCAGGATCACGTCGTACTCGCTGTCCTCGACCTCAGCAAAGGTGTAGGGGTCCTCCTCTGGCTCCTCCTCTTCCTGGGGGCCCCCTGCTGGCTCTGGCCTCCAGCCAGCAGTGCCTCCGCTGGGCTGCCTGTCCACGAGGCCCTCCAGCGTCTCCCCTGCGGGTGGAAGGTCAGGTGAGGGCACGCCACACGGCCTCGCCCCAGGCAGCTGCCGAGAGCCACAGGGCAGAGGACGAGGACAGCCCCCAGCTACTCCCACGTCTCCCCAACAGTGAGTGCTGCGACCCTTCCATGCCTCCCTGCAGCTGCTGTGAGCAGAAAAAGCCTGCAGCCCGTGGGGCCGAGCAGAGAGCAGCCCGGATGGCGTGGTCGCGAGCCACGCACCATCAGGAAGCTCAGCCCTGACCAAGGCCGCAGGCCCCAGACAGTACGCGGCTTGTGTTTTTAGAGCTCAACTGGTGTTCTTCGATTTCAGGTCTTTTTCCTCTCACAGGGCCCACACTGGACACTGCGCCAGATCCACCCTCTGCGGACGGGGGCGGCCCAAAGCCCCGCACGGAGTCAGAATCTGACAGTCAGCTCCCGCAGCGGCCGGCCCGGTGATCCCAGGACAGCGGCCCTCTGGAGCCTCACTGGTGCTTTCGTGCCCCGACACGATGCACCGCTGGTGCTAACAGCCGGTCTCTAGAGGACAAAGACACGAGACTGTCTGCAGGCCAGTAAGACTGTCTTAGCCAGCCCTTGGACAAAGTGTTGCCTAAAACACTGGTGAAAACACACAGTGGGGGGACGGCAGCTGCTGGACGAACAGCCAGCGCGTGGAGCCGACGCAGGAAGCCTGGGCGGCGGCAGGCTGGGTACAGGCTCCTCTGCAGAGACCGCGGGCTTCCGGCTGCGAGCCTGTCAGCCGTGCTTCTGGGTCACACTGCTGGGTCCCGGGCAGGCTGACCCGACCGCCCCAAAATGCACCGCCCAGCACCATGGTCACTGTGACAGTCACTGGAGGTACGGGGGACACCGTGCTCGCCAGCGGGGTGAGCCCGATGGGCGGGCTGGGCCGAGCAGCTGTGTGGGCCGCTCCGGACGCGGCCAGCACCTGACTGTCCCCGCGCCCTCTGTGAGCAGGAGTCAGCAGCCCACGCTGGCCCTCCCAAGGCCGCACTGGAGGAAGACGGACGTTCGCGCACACGTTACCTTGTGAAGCGCCACGGGGTTTCTCCAGCTGGGGGGAGGCGGGCACGGCCCGGGGCGGGGGCAGCGGGGGCCTGCCGCTGGGGCTCGGGCTCGGCGGGAGGCACTCGGGGCCGCCTCCCGGCACACACACGTACAGGTCCTCGTACTGGCTCTCGGTGCCCTCGGCGCAGGCCGCGCCCTGCCCGCCTTCCTGTGCCGCCCTGGAGGCCTCGGCCCCGCCGGTGTCCAGCCCGCGCGTCTGCTCGTGGCCGGGAGGACGCCGGAGCCGCGCAGCTGTGTCTGTGGAGAGCGGGGGTTAGTGCGGACGCTCTGCAGGAGACAGTGCTCACAGCGACGCCGTGGCCGTGCTGGGCCTGGCCACGTCCACACAGCCAGAGCTGCTCTGGCTCCGCGCCGCCTCCGCGCACGGCACACTGCAGCTCTGGCCGCCAGGGCCGCGGCTCGCGGACATCGTGCCTGACGGAACCAGGACGTTTTCACGGGAACCAGTTTGCTGCCCACGAAGTGGTCAGCGACGGAGACGACAGAGAAGGGCACAGTAAGAGCGAAGCCCGGGTCTCACTGCACGTTTGCGCCACCATGATGGGCAGCCTGCCCGGGCCGCCGCCGCCGGAGCGCGCTCAGTGCAGCGGGCAGGCTGTTCTCCTCGGGCAGCAAAGGCGGCGTCCGCTTGTTACCGCCCACAGACTGACGAGGGCTGCGCCCTGCGGCACGCTGTGCCCGGCCACCACCCCACCGGCCCGTGTCCTTCCTTTCCAGGCCCCTTGTGCGTCACCTCACATGACAGGGCGTCCGGGTGGCACACGGACACCTACCGGGAGACCACACCGCCAAGGCCTCTTCGCAGTTGTTTTCTTGTTCGTTATTTCTACTAATTTCTTGGATCTGAAACAAAACGAAAGTGACTCAGTACCGCGCGGTGACCTCAGGAGACCTGCGCTCTGCCGTGCACCGGCCAGAGGAGACACAGCGCCAGGGCGAGCTTCGCGCCGACCCTGTCCACCCAAGCCAGCTGGTCGCTAAGTGGCACACGGTACCGAAAGTCTGACGGGCACTGACCACGGACACTAAGCTGCGAACTGACGAAAATAAAACCCACCCACGGCAGCGTCTCTGGGGCTCGCGGCAACACTCGGGACACGCGGGCGGGCCTGAACGTGCTTCTCCTAACCAGGACTCTCGTTCTGTCCACGCCCCACCGCGGGCCGGCGGCAAGGAGGCTCACCCGCCAGGTGCTGCACAGCAGCGTGAGGCCGGGGTGGGAGCTTGGGTGTCTCCCGGGGCAGCCTCTCGGAGCCCTCCCTAGCGACTCCTCTTTGCTCACCGACTGCAAGCGCACGGGTGGGCTCCACTGTGGGTGCACGGGCTGTGTGGGGTCAGCGAGACGCAGGAGCAGCCCCGCCACCACCTGTCACAACCCACGGCCACATGCCGCAGCGCCGGGCTCTCGGCCGCGACACTGACCCGCACGGGGAGGCGCTCAGGGGACAGCCGGGTCGGGCTGCTCAGGTCCGGTGCAGACCCCGGGGTGGCTTCTCGCCCACGCCCGCCAAAGGGACCCCATGGGATGTCCGTTTGGAGAGTGAACAGTATCTGGAAAAGCAGCAGCGGCTGGTGTCCAGCGAAACGTGAAGCCAGCACCAGTAAGAGGCCGACTGCAGCCCGCCGTCAGGCCGCGTTTGGTGCGAAGTCTTGCTTTCGCCTTGATGGCTCAAACGCTACCATGGGGCTGTGGGCCTGCGACCCTAAGCGCCGGTCCAGCCTGCACGTCGCCACCTACCCGTGTTCCTACAGCTGCCTAGAAGCGCCGGGCGCAGGAGCCCAGCCCCGCCGGGCGCCTCTCACATCAATTCAGAGCACAAAGCTGGGTCACGGGCAGGGTCTGCGTCCCCGGGTGAGACCAACGCGCGGGGCGCGGGCTGGGACAGAGGCAGGCGTTACAGGCGTGCTTCGCCAGCACCATCCCGCTGTACGCCCACTCCCTAGGCGTCGCGTCCGCCAGGCCCACCGTCTGAGGGCAGCGAGGTCGCGGTCTCTGCCCTCGGTATGTGATGGACTCGCGGACGCCGTAACTTGCCACCCTCCTTTCACCCGGCTGCCGCAGTGTAGCGGCTGCATCTCACATGCCCTCACAGGCACCGCATGCTCTCGAGCTCGGGCTGTCAATGCTCTGGCCCACTTTTCCTCAAGCCAACGAAGTCTGGCAAACGGGTGTCAGCCACGACCCTGCCTTTGGTCGCTTATCTTGTCTCCAAGCTACCACAGACATTGTCAGGACTGTCCCGGCCAGCGCTCTCCTCACGCTGCTCATCATCTTTCCTCGCACGCGCAGTAACGGGCCGTCTCCCCGTGCTAAAACTGCCAGTGGCCTGGCTTCTGCCCCTGAATCCCTCACAGCCTGTCTGTCTCCGGGGTGCTCGCACACTGCCGGTAGGCCCTGCTGACAGTCACGATGCGCGGTCTCTCAGAGAGGCAGGCGCACGTGTGCCTTCCCTCCCGACGGGGCTGCGTTCTTTTATGACCAGAGCGGGCCCTCAGAGGACCAAGAGCAAGCCTGTCTTTCCCTCCCCTCGCAGGTTCTCTTCCCGCGTCGGACAGGCCTGGCTTCAAGAAGGGGAAGTGGCCGAAAAGCCGCCGGCCGGCGCCTTCGGTCTTCGTCCCTGCTGCCCCGCCCCCCGCCACCCTTGCTGGCCCCACTCGTGTGCGTGTCAGTAGCGGCGGCGCCACCTGCCTCCCCTCGCAGGCCTTCTCCCACCACCCTTCCCTCTGTGTAGCTCGGCATCGAGAGCCCTGCAGCCCGCCGGGGCGCAGCCTGGTGGTGTTTCTGGTCCTCCGGACGTGAGCCTGCGGCTGCTCACGGGCTGACGAATGAAACCGCTCTCCTCTTCCTCGAACTCTCCTTTTATTGGCTGGGGAAGCTGAGACCGGCTTTTGGCAACGTCATAACCCCACAGGTCAAGCCACTGGACCCCGAGCTAACGACTCCTTAACCTTTTCCTCCCCCCACACTCGTCTGAAAGCTCTGTCCACAGTAAGCCGCTCGCGGCCCAGGCTGGAACCCAGCCTCTCCGGGCTCTCCACTTCTCCACGCCTACGCAAAACGCGCGTAGAGCGGCAGCACTGCACAAACCACCCTGACGGGCTGGGCCCAGCTCCCTGAGGCTCACGGCGAAGAGGGTGGCGGCGGGCTGGTTCCCACTGTGCCCAGCAGAGCCTGGCCTGCTGCGCTAACCCTCCCAGAGTCAGCACAACGCCACAGTCAGTCTCATCCCAGGGGTGCAGACCTGCGCCTGACCTCTGTCGGCCGAGAGCCTCTCTTCGAAGAGAGCGCGCACAAGTCCTGATTCTTCAGCCCCACGGGGGGATATCCAAGGCTCCGCAGCATCAGTGGCGACGCTACCGGCGCAACAGGAGGACCTGCCACATCGCCTCACCTCTCTGCGGCCTTCATGCCCCCTCTCTCCGCCAACAGCTACCTGGTCGTTGCATTTCCCCAATCTCTACCCTCTGCACAAGCGCGAGCTAAATGGGCCCGTGTTGGGAGCCCCCAGCCTTTCTCATCGCACGGTGGAATGGCCCGGAACCGCCCGAGGGGCCCACCGCGTCCCGCAGCCTAGGCGGCCAGACCCTGGTGGTGTGAACACGCGCCCTTCCACAGCCTCAGTGCTCCTGGCCAGTCACTCGCCAAATGACCCACTTGCCTTATGCCAGTCCAGGCGACGCCGTGCATGCGTCTCCTTGCTGGGCTCGGGTTGGGTTCCTTCGCAACGGTGTATGAGTGGAATTCCCCCGAATCTCCTGACCAGCCGAAAGTAACTGAACCGTCACACCTTCCTCCACACGGTAATCGCGGGAGTTCACCTCCTCTACACTCAGCCCCTCCAAGGCTCCGCCGGCCGCTGTGCCGCAGCCCTCAACACGTGCAGAAAACCACCCCTGACACAGGGCACTGCCGTGCACTTCCGGCACTGGCCTCCCCAGAGGGTGCCTGCATCTCACGAAACCGGGGACTCCAGGGCTCACGGTCCAAGAAAAAAGCAACGTCACAAAGGGCAGCCTAGGAACCGGACCACGCCACCAGTGTCCCAAGGCCCAGACCAGCGGAAGCCCGGACGGGCTGCGCGCTCTTCCGTTTACGCTGCAGCACTCTGCCCTCTCAGTGAGACCCTGGCGCGCAGCACACTCGGTTCCACATACCACACGCCAAGGTCCTCCCTGCCCAAGGGTCCTTCCTTGGGCTGGGCCTGACAAACGTCATCTTTCTGAGGCGAGCACTTCCCGTCCCTGCTTGCTTCTTGGTCTCCCACGCTTCCCCCACGCCCTCGAGACACCACTGCTTCCCGAAGGGCACGCAGCCACCTCCCGTGCCGACGCTCGGCTTGACCCAACACTCGCTTTCTTTCTCACGGCACTGCCTGTGGCTCCAGCCAGCCTGACCCGTCCCTGGGACAGCCGCTCCCCTTTCCACCAGTGAGCTCCAGCCCCGCGGAGTCCGCTGCGCCCCGCCTCCGGCGCATGATGGCGGCATCGTATTTAGTCTCCGCGCTGCCTCCGCAGCAATGGCATCGCGAACGGCCAATGAGGCACATGGGCATGGCCAAGGCGACGCAGGGCTGGCCGTGGCGGCGCACCCCGACCAGCACGCTTCAACCAGACCAGAGGCGCTCGGTGGGCGCCTGAGGACTCGTTCTCTTTGGAGATGCGGCTGTGTCACTGAGCGCGCTGCTGAAACATCACTTCACAGTCTTGGGTTCTCCACAAAAGGATCTGTGACAGCCTTCAACTCCCCACTGGCTTCCTCCAGCGACCACCTACAGGCCGGGCCAGTTCAAGAAACAAACGTCTCAAGAAACTGTCGATGGCTCCTTGGCCTTTTCATCCCTTGCAAATCCAAAACCTTGGCCGAGCAGCCCAACTTCACAATCAGCTGGCCAGCGGCTACTCGTTCCTCCCCTCGTTACTCTCTTAACAGGACGCTCCTGCTACCGCGGGACACAATCAGAAGACGAAAGTGAGCAGCGACGATGCTTCACCTGGCTTATCGCCCTCAGGCCTCCGCCTTTCCCCTTCCTCCCGCCATTCCTCTTTTGAATTAAAATAAAAAGGGGGGCTGTGGGCCTGCGACCCCTAAGCGCCGGTCCAGCCTGCACGTCGCCACCTACCCGTGTTCCTACAGCTGCCTCAGAAGCGCCCGGCGCAGGAGCCCAGCCCCGCCGGGCGCCTCTCACATCAATGAAGAGCACAAAGCTGGGTCACGGGCAGGGTGTGCGTCACCGGGTGTGACCGAACACCGGGGGGCACTGACTGGTGTTTAACAGAGGACCCCTGAAGCTGATCAGCGGACGCCTTGCTGATGAGACTGAAATCCTGACCGGGGAGTCGGGGCTGGATCTGCACACCAAGCCACGAGCAGAGGAGCAGCTCAGTTCCACCCCCGCTGCTTCTGCTCCCCCCACGAGTAATGCTGTAGGCCGGGTTTACGGATAAAAAGGCGGGGGCCTTGCTCCGGAGCAGCACCCTGCACGATGCAGCCTGCTCCCCGGCTCCGTCCCTGTCAGAGCGGTGCCGCCCGAGGCAACACGGAGGCTGGCGAGTTAACTGACACGGTGCGCTTGGTATGGGAAGTGCCGCCTGCTACAGCCCGGCCTTCATGTTTCACGACACAAAGCAAGACACATTTCTGGGGCCTCCCTGGTGGCTTCAGGGTCAGTCTCAGCACTGTCACCACTAAGGCCTGAGCGCGATCCCAGCCAGGAGACACCCTCCTGTCTCCCCGCTGCCCCCCTCTGCAGTGGAGTCCAGCGGATCCGCTGTGCTGCTCCCCATGTCGCAGGCGAGTCCTCTCACCCCTGCACCTCTGGCTGCACCCCAGTTCCTCCGCACAAAAGCAAGGAACGGGCACGTTCATAAAGCCGCGCAGTGCATGCGTCTTACTGGCCGAACGCCAAGAACCGCTGACAGGTTGCAGACTCCTCCGTACCCCTGGGCCCGGCACTGTCAGCTCAGAATCTGTGAATTCATTCGAGCGAGGCGCCTCACGCTGCAACCTCACGGCGCCCGCTGCACAGCACCCCCAAAGGAGGCAGCCTCGGCCAGGCCGCCCCACACCTGCCCCGCGCGTGGGTGCCGTGAGAGCCCGCGTGGGGCAAGGGGCGGTGCCGCCCGCACGCCGCCGTCGCTGCCCACCTGGACGGACGCTGCAGTGCGGTGTTGCCAACCTGCGCCCTGCAGGCGCTCTGGTGGCCGCGCAACCCAGCTGCCCGGCCCCGCAGCAGGCGGGGCGCCCACTGACCCCCCGGCGCAGACACAGGATGATGGGGGGCAGGGCCCGCGCCCAGGTCCCTCAGGCCCGGCTGCTGGTCCCCGCTGGTCCCGTCCCTCCTGCACGCCCCTTTGCCCTGGTCCTCAGCGCCAGCGCCGCACGCCGCGGCGAGCA